ACAATCAAAAAGCACACGGTTTTTGGAAAGACGAAGAGCACGATAAACCTTTTAGAACTAAAAGCAGCTTTTTACAGTCTTAAATGTTTTGCTAGTTCTGCACACAATTGTAAAATATTATTACGGATTGACAATTAGGCAATATGGCGAAAATTCGGCTGCGAGATGACAGCAGCGTCGCAGGTCAAGTCATGCGCAGATGCATGCTTTTCGTGACCGGGCCATCTCGATAGCAGTAGATATTTTTCAGTGCGACTAATTGACAGTTCATTCTGAATAAAAAAATAAATATGAAATAAATAATAAAAATGAACTGTAGTGTTAAAAATTAAAAGGGAAAAAAATTTTCAAAAGACCCTAAATTAAGGAAACAATGGTTAGAAGCAATTAAAAGACTAAACTATAATCCAAGTGCATTAAACATTTTTAACCAACTGATATTTTTACAAAAAACGAGTGAAGTCCAAAAAAGATCAATCCCACCCTTTATTGTTTTCACATATCCTTTCAGAACAGAAAGATATTCCCAAATTTATCTACGACATTACTTTGAAAGAATGAAGCTCGCTCGGCGGGGCGCGCGGCGCAGTGGCGGCAGCGGGCAACTTTTTCTTTGCTTTAAAAGTGTGGTAACAGTGCACATCTAAGGATACTACCATGTGATCTCTTTTGGAGGAGGCGCTTGTATAATCAGAATCGAACTTCACTCGTGGAGTTCGTTCGATTGTACAATTACAAGATAAAATTATTATGGAAATTAAAAAAAAAAACATTGGTCTCGTCGTAGGGTATATTTGAAGATTCCATTTCTATAATTGAAATTTTTTCGAATTTTCATAAAAAAAACTGCATCAGTTTCAAGTTATCATTCGTCCGTTGTAACTGTTTCTAGTGGTGTGAAACAGGTTCAAAGGGTAAGCCGATAAATAACGAACAGTCAAATTTAATAATCTTCACCAGCAGTTATTTGTAATTTTTGTGCAAATTAAAAACCAATGAGTTTATTATAATTAATTTTAAGATAAAAAGGAATTTTTCGACGACAATAAAGTGTAACGCCGAAAATTGAAGCATACTTCACGTGACGTTCATTCGAATGCAAGTTGCGCCAAAAGTCATTCATTAAATAACAGCAACAAAGTAAAAAATTCACTACTTTATATTGATTTATTTTGTCATTCAAATAAACTACATTTTTATAAAATAAATTATAGGATCTCTTGTACGTAAAAGGGATGCAAGTGGCATGTTTTCGATGCTTAAAAAGATCGAATAATTGCCGGTTCGGCGAATGGTTTTTCTCAAAGTTTCCCTAAGAATACCCTTCCTTAATTTACTTATAACCAGCGATAGTCAAGCCAAAAATAGATAAAAATGATCATTTGAAAATAAATATGAATGATACTTGCGATGTCAGGATATTAAGGTATGGTATAGCTTCTCTACTACAAATGAATAATAAAACCGAGAGAGAAATGATGCTCTCGAGCTCAGACTCGTGCACACTTGTTCGTTCACAGATTCATTCGTTCTCTCGCTCACGGATATAGAGAGCAAAAGAGAGAGGACCATCGCTTTTTATAGAGAAGAATTAAATGAAAAATAAAAATATAAAAAAAAAATAAAAATATAATGAAAAATAAATATAATAAATTTTTTTTTCAGTGAGCCCGTTCTAGCATTACCCTCTATCACTTTCGATAATGGTTTATATGACGATGTAAGCTATTAATTACTGGATATAATGTCGACTAAAGAGTCTCTCACGATCGGAAACTATAATGCTCCGGAACATCCAATTTTGATCAAGCATTACTTTTATCTATATTCAAATGATTATTCGTCACTGATTTCACCTGAATGGAATTTTTTGTGACGTCATCGACAACTTTGGTAAAATTAATTCTACCAGGATATGGAATGCTACGTCTATAATTACCGAAGAGATTCGTACTATAATGAGTTTAGCAGCGGACAACACCGACATAAAATGGCCAATGCACAAACTGAGTAAAAATGAAATTAAGAGATATGTATTTTTACCTTATTTGGAGGATTATCATTGGACGCTGTATGTTGTCGATACTTTGGAAAAAAAATTAATGCATTTGGACCCGAAGAAGTTTGAACGTACAGCCAAAGAATTTTTGAAGACAACTAAAAGAGCGTGCAATAGTCGAGGTGGAAATGTTCACAAAATAAAGTGGAAAATTTCGCCTTTCCCGGAAAAATACCATTTACAAAAAGATAACGTCCACTGCGGCGTTTTCGTTATGCATTTAATGGATGTGATTGGTTCTAATAAACATTTTGATGATAGTGATGATAGTGATACACCATTCGATCCAGTTAAATGTAGGACTGATATCGCTCGATAGTTCTTAGAATTTTCCGCGAGCATGAGTAATACATGCATTTTTTGCTTTAGAGATAGACCTGACCTTCGTCGCTGTATTTCATGCCGTCGTCCATTTCACAGTATATGTATTTTGAATAGTATAGATGAACAATTAATTCAAAATTTTTTAACCCACCAAGATTTGCGATGTACACGCTGTCGTATTTATTTAAAACTATGATTTATATTATTCTATTTGCAGAACATTATATAATCTATTTATATTCATTACTATTAAGTAATTTAATAAACTTACTCTTTGCATAAAAAATTTTTTTTATTATTTATTATATTACCATTACATGTATGATCACGATGAATTTGTAAAAAAAATTCACAGCTCCAAAACTCTGCATAAAAATATTATTATTAATCCTAAAATATGTTTCGTTCAGTAAAACAAAATTTTTATAATAAAATACTAACTACTGATCAATATAATATTTTGAATTTCGCTGCTGGGATGTGTATGAGTGGGACGGCATTATAGCTTTAGCGCTTCGATCCAACAGATCTGATTCTTCTAAGAAACAAACGATCAACGATATCGATTCATTCACCTTCTTGGTTGAAATTATATTCCTTTGTGTGTGTGTATGTGTGTGTGTTTTTTTTCCTACTTCACCCCATTCGGACACTCACCGGTATCCGCCGCTAGGCATTGCTTCGGTGAGGCCGGCGTTATTTGAGCACTTACTACTAACTACTTCTATGTTAGTCGTTGTTTTTCCATGCATCCTCCAACCGTCGCATAGTGATATGCGACGATTAAGGGTTCAGGGACTCATCTTTTTTCTACTTGGTGAACCTCTGATCCTGCGCAATGCCATCGTCGATTGTCGTATCCCCTTTTTCAGAGCCGTCTACTGCGTGGTCAGATTGCTGGCATCTCCTCCTGAGTTAGACATCTTTTAGAACTCACTGTCTAGTGCCATCTTGTGAGTGTGGTTCTGGCTTCTGCCGCCGATGGCAAGTGCCCCATTTGCTCTGTTGGCTACATCTTGTGAGTGCGGTTCTCGCTTCTGCCGCCGATGGCAAGTGCCCCATTTGCTCTGTCGGCTACATCTTGTGAGTGTGGTTCTCGCTTCAGGTGCCATCATGCGTTCCAGCAGATTCTTGGCTCCAACATCGGGCGCCCTCTTGTGAGTGTGGGTCTCGCTTTTGACTTCATCATCGGAGTGTTGTGCTCCATCTATTGCCAGCCTTGTGAGTCCTCGCCTCGGGCTCCTTACTTATGTTCATCCTATTGCTTCCAGCTCGGACAGTGATCGGGGTTTTTTACCGCTTCGGAAGCTGATGACATAGCCCGGGTCTTTTTTTTTAGTGGTACCCGCTCCACCTCGGGCACGGGCTCAACCACACCAGGCGAAAAAACGCCATCGAAAATTCGCCATGTGGGGATCGAACCCACGCCCTACGGCACACCTTGTATCAGCAGGCAAGAACTATACCCACTGAGCCAGGGAGTGTTGTACAATATGGGTTGTGGAGGGGACGATTTTGAACGAGTCTGCGAGTTTTTGCAAAATTTCGCCGACATCGTAAACGTTCATTTAGTCAGAGCAGAAACACGCTTGACCGTCACCCGACTGATTTATGACGAGTGACCCTAAGGAGGGTCGATGTTACTTGTTGCCTCTTAGTTTACAAGTTTTGCAACCTCTACGTTTAGTCCTGAGAAGGACTAGTTTTGATGCAGGCTGTTAATTTGTGCAGAAGGACTGGCTGTGACCAGCGGTGACCAGCTATGACCGATGTTGACTGGCTGTGACCGATTTTGACCGTCATGGAGGTGATGGTCGGATGGACGATGACGTCGTTGTCGGCTGGGGCTGCTTGGCTGTCACATGCCTCGTGAGAGTGGAGTGACACAAATGCCGATCACTTTTCTGTCCAACTTGTAACAAGTCGAACAGTCAAAAGCTGATTGAATAAGGTCGAAAGGCACTTATACTCGTACTCTAAACTCGACCTTTTCTCATGCGGGTACGACTTTTTTCTGGCGCCGCGCCACCTGGCGTCCGAGTCGGAAACTTGCAAAAGTAAAAAATGGGGAAAGGTTGTGAAATGACAAAGCGAATGTGTTTTTTTGTAAATTAGACCAAGTTCACTATTGAATGAAGTCCCTAGGTCGCAACTCTCAAGAGCTGGTCGCCGCGAACGCGAGGACGAGAGTCGATGTGCTCTGGCTGGCAGCCGAGAGACGACTTCACTCTGCGTGGGCGGGCGCCTCGCTTATATAGGAAGCGAGTGCGCGCTGATTGGCCGTCGGCGCAAAGGTGGGGACGAGGGCTGCTGTGTACGTCGCCAGAGTGGGGACGCACGCAGCTGTGCACGTCGCTCGAGTGGGGACGCACGCATTGGTGTGGCAATAGGCCTGCACACTTAAAATGCATAGCGGCACATAGCGACGCATAGCGCCGTCGCTGTGTATTATTATAAACAGTTTTCTGCTAGTTTTGACAGATCTTTGTTAGTAAAACACATTTGTCGTTCTAGTAAAATTAATTATCAGTAGAATTCAGTTATTGAAAAGCTTAGAAGAATTAAAAGATGCAATAGCTCAATTATCTGATGCATATCAGTTTGAAAAAAGCAAACGATGGATAAACCGAAAGTGGCTGGTACGTCCTTTTCACGAACACAGATCCTCAAAAGGATTTTTTAATGTTTCTTTTAAAGAACTTCAAAATGACGAGGAGCTATTCTTCAAAAGTACGAGAATGGACAAATTAACTTTTGAATATTTATTTTCATTGGTTGAAGTTGTTATTAGACCGTTAAGAAATAGAAAGAATAATGTCTCGCCTAAAGAACGGTTGTTTTTAACTTTAAGGTAAAATTAAACTTATACTACACAAATTATCATTAAAAGTTGTGTTTATCCAAATCTTTATATATCAAATAATTTTTCAGCTATTTGGCAACAGGCGATGACATTTTTTCTATTGCTGTGAAGCACCGAATAAGCGAAACGAGTGTTTTAATTATAATTAAAACTACTTGCTGCGCTATAATCTCAGTATTGGCAAATACATATTTGAGAACTCCTAAAAGCATTGTTTGGAAAAATATCGCCAAAGGTTTTCAAGCATTTTGGAATATGCTAAACTGTATCGGCGCTATTGATGGGTTGCATATACCGATAGTCGCTCCTGCTAATAGTGGCTCTTCTTTTTTTAATTATAAAAAATTCAACAGCATCGTACTATTAGGTATATGCAATCATCGTTACGAGTTCACATGTGTCGATATTGGATCTTGTGGGTCAGAAAGTAATGGTGGCATTTTGAATCGTAGTCTTCTGGGAAAAGCATTAGCTGAAAAACAATTAAATATTCCAGAAGAGCTCAATAATTTTCCCAATAGCACGATGAAATCGCCATATTACTTCGTTGGAGATGCGGCTTTTGGGCTCAACAATAACATGATGCGCTCGTTTCCTGGAAGGCATCTCGAAGAGGGCAAAAAGATTTTCAATTACCGATTGTCAAGAGCTCGTAGGTGCATTGAAAATTCTTTTGGAATTTTAAAAACTAGGTGGAAGGTGCTTGGAGGAAAACCACTACCTTTTAGCCCAGATGACGTTACGAATATCGCAACGGCCTGTGTTTGTCTACACAATTTTTTGATGGCACGCACTCAAAGAAGTGTTAGGCAATCATATTGTCCAGATAATTTTGTCGATACAAGTATAAATGGACGTATTGTGGAAGGGCAATGGAGGCAAGAAGTTAATGTTGACCGAAATTCTCTTCCGCCTTCGGAAGATTCACATATTGAAAGCGCATATGTAATGAGAGATAATCTAAAAACATATTTCAACAGTCCTGAAGGAGAAGTACCATGGCAAAAAGATATGATAACCAGAGGAACGTACAGAGATTTGATGTAAAATATGTATAATTATAAGAAATCTTGAAATATATTTACACTTACACATTCTATTTTATGTTTAATAAACCATATGGGCGAAAAAATACATGATTTGGTATCATTATTTATGTATTAAAAAAATTATGAAATATGATTTTTTCACTAATTTATTGTATATTTTTTAAAAGTTTAAATACGGTTTGTTCTATGATTTATTATTCATTTTAAATTTCCCCGCCTCTCTCTCTCTTTTGGATATGCAGTTAGGGGTTACGGTTCAAGTTTGTGTGGCAAATTTGAATGATTGTCAATTATTCAGTGTATCTGGGCTGCATTGTATTTTTGTGAGCAATCAAAATAAAGCAATAAAAATTTTAAAATGTCGCTAGAAGGTGTTGATGAAAACGTTCAATTAACCGAAAAAGAAAGTACCGAATATTTTTTAGATTTGATAAAAGAAAGGCCGTGTATCTGGAACTTGAATGATCGAGATCATAGCAAACAATTTGTTGTTGAAAATGCAATGGAAGAAATTGCCTTCATTTTACAAGATACAGGTAAATAAAAGTAGCAATTGATTGGGTAAACTGACAGTATTAGCAAAAGTATTAAATTATTCATCTCAAATTGTACACCATAAACAATTTCTCGGCTGTGATATTATTGAAATCAAATACATTTTAGCGAGTATAGAGGAAAACTAACAGTTTCAGCAATAATGCGTGAGGAATTGTAACTAAAGTAGTTTCAATCTTTCAGTGCAAAATTGTGAAAAAAATGGTCAAATCTAAAGGCCTCGTCCAATGCAGAAAAATCGATGCAAGTTAAAGAAAGTTTGAGCGGAGCAGCAGCTTCAACAAAAAGAGTATGGCCATATTTTGCACAAATGCATAGTTTTATGAATTATAAACGACCTACTATAATGTAAATTATAAATTCGAGTATATATGGATCTAAAATAATACTTTTTTAAATTTGATTTTGGCACTTTTTTATCATGTACTACAACATACCAAAAGCGCGTCAACATCGATGACATACGTGCGGATGAAAATTTAAACAAGTATTATTTTGACCCATATTTATAAATTGTTAGAAAACAAGTTACAAGTTAAATTATTTATAATCATTTACAGATCTTTCACTAACGTGAGCACTGATGAAAATGCTGGCATTGCACCTCGTAAAAAAATAAAAAAGCAAACCATTAATCCTATGGAAAGCGCCATTAATAGTGTCAATGCTAGCGTAAATAAAATTATAAATGAGGTTAATCAGCTCAACCAGAATACTTCGCCCGAAAATACAGATATTGAAGCTGCAATTGGGAACGTTATTTTCCTTAGACTACAGCAGCTTAGTCCAAAGAGTGCTAAGCAAAAGAGGAAAGCAATGATGAGAATTCTATATGAAAACTCATCTGATTCAGAGTAAAAGAATACAAAAGTACTTATTCCTTACGAAAAAATCCTATTGAAAAATCCTACTAGTCTAGGCGCTGAGGGGCCGGTTTTGTATGCATTGGAAGGTCCTAAAAAAACGAAGTGTATTTCTACTTATTTTGACCTGCTGAATCCGAATTGTTAACTCTCCCCTCGCTGGTCGGATGGTCGAGTAATTTGTTATAAACAAATTAATTGTTTATACGACTATAACTCCTAAACGATTGAATTTTCATTTTATTGTACACAAAAAGACAAAAATTTCATTTTTTTATTCGTCTTGATAATAAAAATGACGATATTGCATAAGGTCAATGCGTAGAGCTTGGACTGCTGCGTCCGTATATCATTCATTTACCACAATTTTTCACTAACAACATCTCCGGTTCTATTGGTCGTATCAAGACGAATAAAAAAAGGAAATTTTTGTCCTTTTGTGTAATAAAATGAAAAAAAAAATTATTTTGGGAAAAATTCAATAGTTTAGGAGTTATAGCCGTATAAACAACCAATTTGTTTATAACAAATTACTCGACCATCCGACCAGCGAGGTGAGAGTTGAAAATTCGGATTCAGTGGGTCAAAATACGTTGAAATACACTTTGTTTTTTGTGGGACCTTCTAATACATACGAAAATCCTTCAGCGTCTAGACTATACAGACAATTCTGCTACAAAAGTTCTGCGGGATTTTTCAATAAGACTTTTTTATAATGGTATTTATTGTTACTTATTTCTTTGTTATAAAATGTACGTAAAATTACATAAAATATTTACACATTAGATATAGATATAAAATTTTATTGTACATTAACATTGTTTTATAACATAACAAATTAGTATTAATAAATTCAGCCAAATATTTCCAGCATAATCTTTTGAATAAATTTATTTTTTTTTTCTTGATCCTTCATTCTACGTAGTCTAGTGGTGATCAATTGTGAGAGATCTTTACTCTCATTATCACTTTCTTGTTTTTTCTTATTGTTAAAATCATGGTTATTTAATGCTGAAACTGGTGTAGTTTTTTCAGGTTGGTCGTTCAAAGATAAACAATTAGTTATATTTCTAAGCGGTGTGTTATGGGCAGTTTCATTTTGCACAATGGCGTTAATGTTAAAATTATCATCATTATGTATACTGAGATTGATGGAGGTACTGGAATGATTCGGTCGCTCAAAGTTACAGTTTTGGTATTATTACTAATAGGTAAATTAGAAGAAACATCATTTGGCAAAGTGGACATCTGAAATAAAAATAAAATCATTTTTAGTAAACACACCAATATTAATTAATGATAATTAAAATGTATTAACCTGGTTGTTCATTTGAGACCCACTGCAGCTTTCTTGAGTCATGGGCAGTTCAACGGTCCTCACTCGCTAACGCTCGTTCGATATTTTAGATTTTTTGCGAAATTTCTGATTTAGATTTTAAAAAAAGTACTATAATAGTAGTAGTACTATAGTAGTAGTAGTACTTTTTTTAAAATCAAAAACAGAAATTTTGGAGATTCTAGCACTTTTTCTGCTTCATCGCGTAAAATATAAGATTATTATATAATAAATTAAAAGTTTATCTTTTACCGCAGAATCCTGAATAATACTTCCAAATTTCTCAACTCTGAATCTGGAAATTCAATTTCAATCATTGAGTCATTGACAACTTGTGTATCATTATTGGTAGTTTTCTTTGGAAGATTCACATTTTTCTTTGAGACACTTGAAAAAGAAAAATCACATTATATTAATAACAGAAGTAACATAGATTATTCTACTCATTCAAATTAAATCTAAATATTTAACTAATTAGACTCACTTTTTGCTTGTTGTAAATGGTGCTAAAAAATTTATTTGATGATAAAATTGAAATTTTATGTCAGCCGCTCATTGATTTTGTCTCAATTTTTCTCTTGAATAATATTCTCTTAGCCTCTTGAAGCGCTTCTGACAATCTTCAACTGAAAAAATAAAATAAAATTAATATGAAAAATTTATGCAATTAGAAATATAAAATATCCGTCGTAGACAGGCATATTAAAATAATGCTTACCAGTTTTTTCTGTAGTTTCAGAGATCGAAACCCACGCTTGTTCAATTTGGCACTATTTTTTTTTCTATTACATTTTTGATACAAAAACGGGAATTTTTCAACGCATTTAATTAATTTTAAATCAGATGTATCATCTCGGGTCGAGTCTATTGCTTCATCTATCGATTGAGTATTATTATAATCGTGTTGAAACATTTCGATCATGATAAATGTATTTAACTATCAAGGATCTGTCAAAATTAGCAGAAAACTGTTTATAATAATACGCAGCGACGCATAGCGCTATGCGTCGCTATGCTCGCTATGCATTTTAAGTGTGCAGGCCTAATGCGTATGAGGGTAACAAGAGGCCGATAGGCCGATGGTGTGTGTGTTTTTTTTTTTTTTTAGATGTATAACTGTGTTTTATTTAGTAGAAAGAGAAAATAGAAATTTACATTAAGTAGAAATGTAGCATATTGTTTTAGTACATAGATTATGTAGTTACATCCACATCAATTTCCCTTATTCCATCCCCGCAAAAACCGCCGTTAGGAATTACTTCACGGGGGTGGAGGGATTGGCATTATGCGCTTCATGAACGCTTGGATAGGGTGGCATCTTCTTCCAGCCGCATCGTCCGGTCATCCCCTTCTGTCTGTTTCTTCGTCTCTCAGTCTTGTTACGACTGAGTAGGTGAAGGAAGCAACCGCGAGCCAGTGTGGCTCGCTCGCGAGCATGAGCCTGGTGGTGTTTTCCGGCGTCATGACCTCGTGGAGCAGAGTCTGTAGTCTCTCTCTTTCTTTGCTGAACCTCGGGCAGTTATAGAATACGTGCTCCGCGTTCTCGATGGATGAGGGGCAGGCCGGGCATTGCGCGCTTTGATTATGGTCGTAGTGTCGGCTATGGTGTTTAAAGAAGCCATGCCCGGTCAAGAGCTGCGTGAGGTGGTAGTTCAGCTCTCCGTGCCTCCTCTCGATCCACACTCTGATGTTTGGGATCAGTCGATGCGTCCATCGGGCCTTCGTCGACCGGTCCCATGCTTCCTGCCACTTGCTTAGCGTTGCCAAGCGTTCCTCGTCCTTTGCGTCCTCTCGGCGGCGGCCGTGAAGTCGCGCTCACTCGTCCACAAGAAGGGCCAGCGGTGGTATGCCGGTAAGGACATATGTGGCCTCGTAAGAGACATGCGGCCGGCCTCCGATCACACGCAGGCAGGCTCGTCGGTGGGCTGACTCCGCCTGGCGAATGTAGGCTCGCTTTTGTGCTGCTGTGCCCCAGATGGGGGGTCCATACAGGAGTATGGAGTCAACGACGTGGGCATACAGCTTACGTCAGCTGCTTCTGGGCCCGCCAGAGTGGGGCATGATGTTCGTAAGGGCACCGATCACACCGGCTGCCTTCGCGCTGACTGTTCGGAGGTGGTGGTCGAACTTCAGCTTGGCGTCGATGTGCAGGCCCAGGTAGCGGATGGAGGGGGACGAGCGTATGCTGTGGTCGCCTACCGTGATGATGATGGTTTCCTCTTTTTTCCTGCTTATGATAAACAG